TGTCAGCTTTCTTTTTATAGATATAAAAATATGGAAATGTACTGATGCATGATCTTATAATATTTCTGACTGTCTGAGGCAAAATTTCCCCGATTCAAATCGAATCATGGATCGAATCGATTCTAGAAATCAGTGATGATCCCCAGCCCTATTGTTCCTGTCTTACAGCTATTCCCAGTCCAAGGCCTACATCTACCATCACCCCTGCCACCCTCCCTCTAATGCCCTGGATGCACCACAGCTGTCAGGTTTGGACGTAGAAGGTGTGTATGCAGCTTTAATCAGAGTTTCAGGATGGAACAAATGACAGAGGCAAAATTGCCAGAAGAACAAGACAGCATGACAAATCTAAGTACAATTTAACCACTTTGAGGATAACAGCTGCCAGAACAGCTTGTAAGTCTGATCATTTCCCCCCTGTGGGAGGATCCAGTTAATTAACAGGAAACAACTTGTAACCAATTAAAAAAAAAACAAAAAAAAAAACCACTATGAAAGCGTTTGGTTCAGTGCAATAAGGATAAAGTGTATTTCTTACATTCATGTCACAGAAGGAGCCGAGGATGTTGCTTTCATGAGCCGATATGTCCTGAAATTTTAAAAAAAAAAAAAAGTGTAAGACCAAAATGAGTTTTAACCTAAAATGTAGAAGATCAGTAAAGTTTCTTAATCACAGCCCACACTTGTCACAATCAAAGCATTTTTTTAAGGTGCTTAAGGAGAAGAATGTGTTTTGGCACTGCCATCAGAGAAAAGAAATGCATCTGTGTTCACATCATATAATCTCACATAATCTAAGAAGAAGAAGAAGAAAACTAGGCAAAACACAGCCTTAAGAGCAAAACAATGTAAACTGCATAAATGGATATGGTGTGACTGAACGGCCACAGTTAATGTGGTGATAAAGCCAGGAGGTATTTGCTAAATGTGTCAGCCAATAACTAAACATAGTCTACAATAGAGAAAGAGGAAACCTTGTGTCAGGTGTGTTATCCAAGACTCCTCACCTCTATGGTGGGATGTGTGTTGTGTTTGTAAGCTGTGTAGAGCGGGAACTGGATCTGGAAGATCTTGGCTGCACATAGCAACAGTTTCTCCCTCTCCTCCGTGCTCCAGGAGCTGAAGGGATCTTGACTGTCCTGGTTACTTTCAATGCCACATGCCACGTCGTCACCACTCCTGGATTCAATGCTGGCATCCCCAGATCCAAGAACATCTACTTGAGATTCAGCAGACTGGTTCTGGCCCTGATCCTGGGTCTGGGGCTTGTTCTGGTTTAGGTCTGGCGTATCAGCATCCTCTTCAGCAGAGTCTCTTTCCACATTCACAGGCTCGTCTTCACCAGGTGAGTGTGGCTGGGGGAGGGTGACAGGTGCGGTCTCACCTCCACTCCATTCAGACCCCACCCCCTCTGCCCCAGATACGCCTCTTTTGTGAGTGTGGTCCTCAACGCTGAAGAGTCTCTCTCTCAGGCTGCTGATCTGAGCAATGACCAGATTGATGAGGGCGTAGACTAGCTGGTTAAAAACTTCCAAATGCTTGTACTCCTTGAAGCAGCAGAGACATTGCCTGGATACAAAAAAA